CTATCAGTACCAGTGTACATCCTCTGGTCTAGCCAGACCTGCGAGGCTGAATTTATGTTAGATGCCTTTTATAAATGTATGCATCAATAAATTTTTTTAGAAATGGGCTTTGTTGCTGTTTGATTCTGATGAAAATTAATAGCAGCATGTAGGTAATTAATTGTTTCTTTAGCAAGAACTAAATGAAATAATATATTTATTGATATCTGGAAAATATTGGGGAAAGGCACTTTAAGAAAGAGGGAATGTGAGGTAGCTGATAGGAAAGTTTAGCCTTTGAAATGATTTTGCCTAAGTAATAAAGTGTTTTCTAAGAAACTAAAGACATGCGGAAAGTGTTCTTTTAAGCCTGGCGGTTTGGGTGTTGAATTGTTTCGTGTGCACTGCTGGCACTAGATGGCGATGTGTTGTCCCGGCTGCCTGATGCTGCTGAGTTGGTTCCAACTCAGGTGATGGGGCACAGCAGAAGGACACACTGCCTGATCCTACACCGCCCACACACTACTGTAGCGCGGTGTCGATCCCACCACTTGACCATCTTCCTATTGGAATGTCAGCATTTGGGAGTTTATTATTTAGGAGGAAACACTGTGCATAATTACCTTATAATAGGCTTTGGAACCTTTGACTTCGTGATCCACCTCTGTTGAGTCAGGTGCTATCATTTCACTTTGTCATGTAGTGAGCGGAGACAGGGAGAGAGAGCTAATATAGCTTAGATTATTTTAGAAATAGAGACATAGATGTAAAATAATGGAGGACACATAGCCAGTAATTGATGGTGCCAGGATTTATAGCCTTGCCTTGTCTGCCTTCCATGCTACTACTCAGCCTCCATTTCCCCTGAGAAAGGCTGTCTGGACATGTTGTGGCTCAGACTCATAGCACCATGTGAACAAGGGAGTGAGACCCTGCCCTCTCCTGCGCTCTCCTCCCAGTTCCTCTTAGGTTGGAGTCCAGGGTTTCAGCCACAGTGTCCAGCCCTCTCGTCCACGCTCTTTTTCTGTTCCTCTCCTTTACCAAGCATGATGTCTTTCTCCAGGGACTGGTCTCTCTGGACAACATGTCCAAAGTATGTGAGACCAGATCTCACCCTCTTTGCCTCTAAGGAGCATTCTGGCTGTACTTTTTCCAAAGCTCACGCGTTTGTTCTGTTTGCAGTCTATGGGACTATCCATGGATTTTGGCAGCACCGTAATTCAAATGCATTGAATTTTCTTCAGTCTCAATTTCTCAGTGGCCAACTTTCATATGCGTAGGAGGCATTGAATGCCACGGCTTTGGTGAGGTGCACCTTTGGTTTGTCTGCAGAGTACCTCCTTGCTTTTCAACACTTTCAAGGGATCTTGTGCAGAGAATTTACCCCATGCAGTTTGTTTTTTGATCTCTAGACTGTTGCTTCCCTGAGCATTGATTGTAGATCCACTTATCATGATGTTACCTATTGATCCATTTGTGAAGATTTTTTTCTTCAGATTGAATTGTGATCCATAAAGAAGGCTGTACTCCTTGATCTGAAAATAGAGGAGTGATTTCTGTTTGCTTTTATTTATTTCTTTTCTAAAAGAATTTAATA